GTCATGTTAATGCCAGCCTGCTGTTTCGCAATATGTTGCCGGAGTTTCCTGCGGCCCCTCCCCGCAGCGCTCAACATCAACTCTGTTTTGGGGGCGCTCATGGTCAGACCGCTGGCATCAACCTGAGTCCCCAGGAAGTCTAGGAACGAGGTGACAGCGTCGAAGTCGTCAACGATAGTCAGCGCGATTAAGCCATCTGCGAATTTGATCTGGGACGCGTCTAGAACGGATAACTCAATGGCCGTAAAGTCCTCGGAATTCCTGAAAACCTGAGAGGAGGGGTCGCACTGAACCTGGGCGCCCTTGAACCCCGCCGCTAACGCTTGGTCCCCCGATATCATGGGTAATCATGTCATAGATAGCGATGAATAGCCCAGGACCCTCCGCGCTACCTTGCCGAACCCCCCTTCCGAATAAGAAGTCGACGACGTGGGCGATTCGCACGAGCACCCCTAAGACTATAACGAGTTCCGTTATATAACTCCTGAGCAGTCAAGCGAGTTTGTCGAGACAGAGCGAGTTTCTCGAGGGAAGCCCATACCTGCTGCCGATCGAGCAAATCAAACGCCTTCTCCAAGTCAATCAGAGCCGAGACGAGGATGACCGCTGGGTTCTGGGTACGCTAAGGGTTAGAACGAAAGAGTCTGTCTGCCGACCTCGTCGACTAAAGCAATGGCATCGCGAGTAGAACGGCCTTGGGGGGGGGGGGGGGGGGGGGGGGGGGGGGCCACCCCCCCCCCCAGACCCCCCCAACGGGGCGCGCAACGGGAACCCCTCCTCAAGGTCGGGGAAAAAGAGAAACATAAGTGGACAACACTGGTTGCATCACGGAATGCCTCGCTGCGTGTCCTTGCGGCCCTTGGGGGCCGAAGCAAAAAACGAGGGCCCCCCACTCGCCCCGATCGCGCCACAAAGCCCCCCCACCCCGAGGCGCCTCCGCAACGGCCCCAGAAGAGGTTCCAAAGCAGGACAAATCGAGAAGTCAAATTTGCAACTGGCTGCACACGCCGATGCACAAAGTTGGTGCTTTTCCTCTTCTCCCGATTGTTTTTCCTCCACCTAATGTTCCTCCTCGTCGTCCTCGTCCGCGTCCTCATCCTCGCCCGTGTCCTCGTCCTCGTCCCCACCCTTGTCTTCTTCCTTCTTCTCGCCCTCCCTGCTCCGAATGGTGCCCTACTTTGCCTCCGACCTCCAAAGCGCCTTTTTGAACTTATTGTAAATTCGCAGCCTGCGCCGCGCACTTCCCACGCAAGCGCTTCCGCGGCCTGGGGCACTCAACAACCCTGCAAAACCAGCGCCAAATACCTGGGCCGCAAGGGCACGTTAACGGCATTTTGGCAGCCGCATCATCTCGAGGACGACATAGCAAATGCCATGCCGCGCCAATCATCACCCGGCGCTTTTCTGGGCAACGCGGAGGTTGTCGGGCGCGAGCAGCTTTACGACACCTGTACTTCCGCAGTTCGCACAGGCAGCGTTCCAATGTATGAGGGGGCTGCGGAGGCAACGGCGCGTCTGTGGACGGGTTCCGATCACTTACGAACGGGGGCCAAACGGCACGAAATCGAGCAGACTGAGGACCCCGTTTCGGATGTATGACGTGGTCTAGCCCCTCCTCCTCCTCCGCTCCGTCGAGCACATGCACGCAGCGGTCGAGGTCGCACAGCGGCCCGCGGGCGTCGCGCGCCGAGATGATCGCCAAATGTCGACGCACCGACGTGCGAACTACCTGCGGCATGTGGAGCTCACACAGGAGGAGTTGTTCGACCATGCGATTTCCCTGAGCAGTTCCTGGCGTTGGGCCACGCGCCGCCCGCATCCGCGAGAGTAAATCACCGCCAGGCACTGGCGACCACAAATTCGGAATAACCACCGAATCTAAGTAACACGCCGCCCCACAAAATCTCCAAACCCTCGACTCTTCGGCCGAACGACCGCCCCGCGACCAAACCGCGAAAGGAAAGGAAAAAAGGAACGGCGAAAGAGGAAAAGGCAAGGAAGAAGGAACGGACAACAAAAAAAGAAAATAAGAAGGAATAACAGAGAGAACGGAATAAAAAATCAATAAATAACGGGAACAAGCAAGAATAACGGAAGAAGCCAACGGCAAGAAACGGAAACAATGGAAGAAAACGCCCGAAGGGGAAAAAAAAACACGAAAGGACACAAGCAAGGATAACGGCAGAAGGAGACGGAAAAGGGCGGAAACCAGAGATGGCAACGAAAAAAGGAGACGGAAAAATAACGGACACAATAAACGACGGAGGAGGAAAGAGAGAAACGGAAAGGAAATAAGGAAACGGAAAGGAAAGAAGGAAACGGAGACGAAGGAAAGAAACGGAGAGGAAAGAAGAAAACGGAGAGGAAAGAAGGAAACGGAGAGGAAAGAAGGACGCGGATAGGAAAAAATGAAACGGAGAGGAGAGGAGGAAACGGAGAGGAAAGAAGGAAACGGAAAGGAAAGAAGGAAGAGGAAAGGAAAGGAAGAAATAACAGAGGAGGAGGAGGAGGAGGAGATCCCCCATCAGAAACGCCCAAAATGTTGATTTCGGTGTCTGAAACCGAAATCGAGATTTCGATGTTTTTGGTTAGGGTTTAGAAGAAAACCGAAATCTCGATTTCGGTGTTCTTCAATCTTGGTTTCGGTGTTTTTACGGCGCGCCCTCGACCTGGACCTTGCCCGTCGCTTGCGCGGGCCCAGCGGGGGCGCGCCCTCGTCCTCGTCGTCGCCGTTCTCCTCCCTCTCCGTAGCGTTCCTCTGTTTGCGGTCAGGCGACGACTTCTCCTGCTTGCGCGCGTCCATGAGCCGCCGTATTGCGTCTGCGGGCTTTGCAGCACTGCAGGTTGGGCGTTGGGCGGCGGAGAGCAACGCATCTTTGTCGCCGATGATCTGGAACAAGTGCGCGGAGAAAGCGCTTCGTCGGAGCCGGTGCGCTTTCTGCCCATCGCCTTTGCACCTCCCGCTGCGCAGCCGCTCGTACTCCTGGACCGTTTCCGCGTGCATCCACGACCCATAGTCGTTCTTCCACTCCTGGATCTCTTGCACGTGGAAACTCGTGAAGATTGCGTCGGAGTCCAGGCCCGGCGTGCGGCGCAGGTGATTCGCACGCTGCTCCTCGACGACCCGCAAGAGCTCCTCCAGCTTGTGGGTGATGTGCGGAGCAGCTGCCGCCTCGAAGCGGCCGTCCGACGAGGCTACGATGTTCGCCACTTTGCCGAGCAGGAAGTCTCTGCCGATCTTCTCGAGCACCCCCTGCAACGCTACTTCGGCGGAGGCATCGCTGCCGAAAACGGCGTTGACACGGGGCTTGGCGGGCCTCCCGGAGGCTGTGCTGCAGGCTGGGGGGACTACCGGAGCAGGCACGGAGGATGGAGGGAGGGCGGTTCGCCCTTCAAAATGGAACTCTCGCCGGAGCTTCCCTGGAGGGCCTCTTGAGGTATCCCGAGAGGAGGCGCCGTGTGAGGCGGGGCCCGGGGCCTCCTGGAGGCTGGGGGGGCTACCAGAGCAGGCACGGAGGATGGAGAGAGGGCGGCTCGTCCTTCAAACTGGAACTCTCGCCAGGGCTTCCCTGGAGGGCCTCCTTGAGGTATCCCGAAAGGGGGCGCCGTGTGAGGCGGGGCCCGGGGCCTCCTGGAGGCTGGGGGGGCTACCAGAGCAGGCACGGAGGATGGAGAGAGGGCGGCTCGTCCTTCAAACTGGAACTCTCGCCAGGGCTTCCCTGGAGGGCCTCCTTGAGGTATCCCGAAAGGGGGCGCCGTGTGAGGCGGGGCCCGGGGCCTCCTGGAGGCTGGGGGGGCTACCAGAGCTACGCTATGCTGCGCTATGCTATGCTATGCTGCGCTATGCTATGCTATGCTATGCTATGCTATGCTATCCTATCCTATGCTATGCTATGCTATGCTTTTGCTTTGCCTTCGCTTTTGCCTTCACTTTTGCCTGTGTGTTTGCTTTTGCTTGGCACCCGGGGAGCGCAACTGGGGGAACCGCGCGTTTGCTTTTACCTTTGCTGTTGCTTTTGCTTGGCTCCCAGGGGACTGGGGGAACCGCCCGGGGCGGTTTGCACTGCCCGGCCCCTTTAAGCCAAGCAAGTAAGAACCCTTCTAGGCAGAGCCTAGGTAGGGAAAAACGTCTCGGAAGGCGCGTGCGCTTCTGAGAAGTCTCGCCGCTTTCTGAGAAGGCCTTCTCCTCCTCATTTCCCCCCTCGCTCGCCGCCGTTTTCGGGGACCTCGGCATGCGGTGGATGTGGATATGGTTTGCACCCCGAGGGCCGAACATGTGCGTATCCAATGCCTGCTCGGGTCCCCGAAGCTCGATCCCCCAGGCGGTGGTCATGGACGAATCCCTACCTCGGATCCCTGGTCGCTGGGGGTGATGCTGGGCGTGCCCCTATCGCTTTGCCGCGCCCCTGGAGGGGGGCCTAATTGAGTGGCGTCATAGGCAGATCAAAACATATCTCCCTAGCCCTCCCCCTGGTTCCACCAGGCGTGCGATTGCCGCCACTTAGGCGCCGCCCCTGCGAAGCCTAGCGGAGCAATGTCCCACGACAAAAAACAGGAAAGCCTAAGAGGTAACGATACCGCTGCTCCCCCGACCTCTCCGGGCGAGCGTTATGACCAGAAGTCCGAAGCGAATCCAGCAATTGCGACGCCGGGCCTTCCAGGAGGCCCAAGAGGGCGAAAGCGTGGAAAGGGTAGCGGTATCGGTACACTTTCCGGAGGTCTTGAAATTGGCACCAACACCAGCCCAGGGGGTTGCCTCCACAGGGGGAAGAAGATCCTAGATTTCGGTGTTGGTGGCAATACTTCGGCCTCCTTGGAAGCCAGAATAGTAACACCATCACCGAGATCGGGATCGTCTTCCCTCGGCGGAGGCACACCGCCGTTCTCGGTGTTGGTGTCAACCTCCTAGGCCTGCGAACTGTCTCCCTCCCCTGGAGGTCACCAGTGGCCGAGGGCTGCTGTCGGCCTTCGGACCCGCCAGTTCTGTCCCCAGCTCGGTCCTCCTGCTCGGCCGAACTCTTCCGGAGGGGTCCGCCTCGAGCGGCCTCGCCGCAGAAGGCATCCAATGTTACGGCACCGCCATGAGAGGGCCGCAGAAGACGTACGCGCCCACCCGCGTACGGGAACACGGCGCCCCAGCCCGCGAGACCAGCCGCGTGACACGAAGGTTCGCGCGATGTGATCTCGAAACCAACGTGGATTCATGTACGTGCACGTCCTTCTGTCGCTCCTGGCGCCACCGCCACGTCTGGCCAGGCACACATCCTCAGCCCTGGCATCGCGTGACAGACCCTCCAGGCCTCGGCCAGCCGAGACATCCTCCGTCGTGATTTTCTCGACGTGGCCCCCCAGAGGTCTGGACCCCTTCCCCGGGACCAGCTTTTTTCATCCCGGTTCATTGTTCGACTGTCCCGGGGGCTGGTGAGGACTCCCGAAGGCTGGAATTGGGCAAAAGCTGGCCGTTGTGATTTTCACACAATGGGAGATGCCCATCCCAGACTGCCGCAGGGTCGTGTCCTAGGGAATGCTCCGAAGCAGTGGCTATGAAAATATTCTAGGGTCGGCTACACGTAAGAGTGACCCTGAGCAAGAGCGACCTTTGGTGCGCGAGTGAACGGGGGACGCGGGGTGGCCAAACCCGGGCGCGCAAGCCGCTGCTACCGCTTCGCGCTCAGCGATCGGGGGTCCCCATTGAACCCGCACCAAGGGTCACTCCAGCGAAAGGTCGCTCTTGCGTCTAATCGATAGGGTGCGCGTTCCGGTGGACACGCAGTCGCAGCACGGATACCTTCCGCGCGGGGCATCTGCGAAAAAACAACAACAAACAACAAAAACAAAAAAAACGTACCCGCGGGGTCGCGGCCCAGGGGCCCAGCCAGTGGGGCCGTGCATACGGATGCGCTTTTTCGGCCACGATGGACAGGATGGCCCTGGTCATGATCGGTGATGCACTTTATTATGCTTAGGTCGGGCATGTCCTCCTACAGGCAGGTCGTGGATGAAAATCAAAAAACAAAAAACATACCCACAAATAGCAAGACATAATTAAAACATCGTCCCCATCTCATGCTTGAACTATTTTTGGGGTACTCCTCCTGTAGAGGGACACGCCCATCTTAACAGTATGCCTTCCGCGCTGCCTCTTGCGCGCGGGCGAAGGCCCCCGGCTCGGCACCGCCCGGCTGCCCGCATCCCGCGGGAGCTGGCCGTGCTCGGCGTCGAGGCCGTCGGTCGCCTCGGGCGGCAGCCACTCCTTGGGGGGCGGAAAGATACGGATACGTGTTGTCCCCGGACCTCTCTTGGGGTGCGTTCTGACCAGAATTTCGAGGCGAATCCAGCGGTGTCAACGAGGATTCCCCAGGAGGACCAGGAAAGGCCGAAAACGAAGGGGGACAACACGTATCCGTATCTTTTTCTCCCCCGAACTCCTGGGCGGCGTCCTCGTCATCGGGTGGCAGCCACTCCTGCGAGGGGAAACGTTTGGGGGGGGGGGGGGGGGGGGGCGAGCCCCTCCTGGGAGATCCGTGAGGGGGTAGGGGGTCCCTGCATCCCCCCCTGAGCCTGCCCCCCCAACGTTGCCACTGCGACTGGGGGAGGCAGAACCTTGCGGGGGGGGAGGAGGAGGAGGAGGAGGAGGAGGAGGAGGAGGAGGAGGAGGAGGAGGAGGAGGAGGAGGAGGAGGAGGAGGAGGAGGGGAGGAGGAGGAGGAGGAGGAGGAGGAGGAGGAGGAGGAGGAGGAGGAGGAGGAGGAGGAGGAGGAGGAGGGGGGGGGGGGGCAGACCCCCACACCCGCGCGTCGCTGCTTCGTTTTAAGCATAGCGACGGCAGGCGTGCTTGCTGCTCTCTGCCAGTGGGGACCCTCTCGGCAGGCCCAGGACGACGAGATGAAGAGCCGGCCCCAGGGAATTGGTCCAGCCTGCTCCTCTTCCCTCCTCCTCCTCCCTCCTCCTCCCCTCCTCCCTCCTCCCTCCTCCCTCCTCCTCCTCCTCCCTCCTCCCTCCTCCCTCCTCCTCTCTCCTCCTCTCCTCCTCCTCCTTCCTCCTCCTTCCTCCTCCTCCTCCTCCTCCGGGGTCGGCGCTGCCAACATATCACGACGTCGGGATCTGGGGAGGGCGCCGCGGCCCTGGCGCGCTGACTTCAAAGGGTGGGCTCCGACTGCACGTCACAGGAGTCACTGCCCCCCTCCGTGCCCAACTCCATTCCCGCGCCGGAGCTAAAGGAGGCCTTCAACGGATTGAAGGTGGCCCCGTGCGGGGCGCACGACCCCTCCCGCTCCTCGCTCCCGCGGGCCGGGCGTGCGCGCAGGCGCGTGACGGCTGTGTCCTCTGCAGGTTGGGTTTCTGGCATGCTGGTTGTCGGGGAGCCGTGTGTCGCTGGGGCGGCACGGGGTCTTCCCACGAACCTTCGCTGCTGGAAGGCCCAGCCTCGCTCTCGAAGTGTCCAGATCCAATCCCTGCCTCTCTCCTGGCTCCCTGCCTCCCCCGCTTCCCTCCTGCCTCGCCTCCCCTCCCCTGCATCGCCCCTGGACCCCCTGCGTCGTGTCGTTTGCGCAGCGTCGGCCCACCTGGAGGCATCCACCCCCTCCCCCGTACCAGCCGCTCGTCCCGAGTCGGTCTCTGGACGGTGCCGCGGGGGGGCCCGTGGAGGCCCCCTCCGTCGTGACTTGTGGACGCCACGAGGGGGTGGGGGTCTGTCCTGCGTCCCCTCCCCTCCCCTCCCCTCCCCTCCCCATCCCCTCCCCCCTCCCCTCCTCCCCCCGATGCCCTCTCACCTGCCTCCGTTGAAGATAGGCGGGCCCCTTGGAATTCTGGCGGTCGCGGCGGGCCCCAAGGAGGACACGGGCCCTTCCCCGGCAACGAGAGCTCGACGAGGGCGGCGCCCGACACCCGACCTATATCGGCGTTCGAGCTCCGATCGACAGATCGACAGAGGACGCCTCTGTGGGAATGCAGCGCACCGTCTTCATCTCCGCGGGGTGGCCCTCTCCAGCACAGGTGCATCCAGCATCAGCATCGTCGCTTCCTCCAGGGAGCGTCGGGGACGGCGGGGCAGCTCGAGGGCCTTGCGGCGTGAACGTCAAGGTCAAGGTCATGGCCAATGACACCATCAGCGCCGCACCGGGAATCCACGCAAGGTGGCCCCACCGCCCCGCGCACCGGCTTCCTCTCCTCCTTCGTCCTGCTCCTCTCCCTCCTGCCTGTCCCATCCCCTCGTGTGCTCCCCCTCCAAGCTCAAAGGCATTCGACCACCTCCAGCGGCGGGGGGCGACTCTCCAACACGCCGAAGTGACCACAGCACCTACATTCCCATGGGGGCCCCGCGGTCGTGGTCATGCTTAGAGAACCGACGCAGCCAGATCAAACTTCGGTGCAGGTGAACTGCTCGAGTGCCACTGGGGTCGCACGAGCGCTGATCTGACCAATCGTAGTGGCCTCCTAGATGGGGTCCGAGCAGATGGGGTCGGCGAATCTCGCCGCATCGCCGATACATCGCCGATGCATCGCCGATGCATCGGCGATGCACTGGCGATGCACTGGCGACGTCGGCGATGCATCGGCAACGTCGGCGTGGAGAAAAGTGGGCCCCACATCGAGCCGCATCGGAGATGTATCGCCGATGCATCGACGATGCGGCACGATCCTCCGATCCCATCTACTCCGACCCCATCTAGGAGGCCTAGAAATCGGCCACGGAACTGCCGTCTCCAGGCCCAGGTCAGTCAAGCCGATGCCCAGGCCTCACGGGAATCCACTTGAAGGGATTCGGCTGGACCGACCCTGAGATCCGACGTTACAAAAAAAAACATCGCAAACCATCATGACTGGAGCCCCGGGCCCCATCTTTCTGCATCATTTTTCGAGCAAGGTCCCGGGGCCCGAAATTGAGCGAAAACGCCCGGATCGGAAAAATTGAGTCGCCAGGATCTCATGGGAACGCCGTCCAGACCGCTCTGCTGATTTTTTCTCTCGAATCACGCTTGACGTTGGTAAGGCTTCGACTTCCGCACAGGCAGCCCCCCTTAGGTAGACCTGGACAGCCTCTACGGGCCCCCCTGAGCACAGCCGGGCCAAGGACAGAAGAACATCTGTCAAAAACATGGGACCCTCCGCCGGTCCAAACTGAGGAACCTTCGAGGGTGCCCTCCCCCAAGATGCACGATGCGTGTACTCCCTCCCTCCTTTTCCTCCCTCCTTGCTTCCCTCCTGCCCTCCCTCATCCGCCTTGTCCTCCCTCCTCCATCCTTCCTCCTCTCCTCCCTCCTCCCTCCTCCCTCCTCGTCCTCCTCCTCTTCTTCCTTTTCATTATCCTCATCCTGTCCTGCTCCTCCTCCTCCTCCTCCTCCTCCTCCTCCTCCTCCTCCTCCTCCAACAACCACGAAGAACATCAGGGTACCCTCCCCGAACCGATCTCGACCTTGCATACCTCGAGCCGACCGTCGCCCGGGGCGGCATCAAGACCCAAACCCGGAGCGCGGAGCGCGCCAAAGGGCGCCGCCAGAGGCGGCGCGCGGGGTGCCGAGACCGCCAAGGGGCCCGTTGAGCCAGCCAAGAATGCAAAAAAAAAAAAACAACGAAGGATTGCAAAAAAAACAAAACAAAAAAAAAAAAAAAAAAAAAAAAAAAAAAAAAACAAACGATTGCAAACCTTCGTTCAAGGGGGGGGGCCTGCCGTGCGCAGCCCGAAGCCTTGCCGGGCGACCTCCTCCGCCCTCCGCCGCGGGCTCCTCTTCCGGCTCCACCCTGGGCAGAGCAAGCGGCCCCGAGACAGCCGCTCCCCAGGGCCTCTCCCAGGGCGCGTTCTGACCAGGATTCTGAGGCGCATCCAGCGATGGCGACGAAGGCCTCCCAGGAGGCCCCCAAAAGGAGAATACCCGCGAAGGGTAGCGGTGTAGGTACGTTTCGGCTACACGCACAAGCGACCGTGGGTAAGAGTGACCTTCTGTGCGCGGCTTTTTGGGGGCCGCGGGGGGACCAAAACACGAGCGCGCAAGACGCGAATACCGCATCGCGTTCGGCGATCGGGGGACCCCAGTGGACCCGCACCGGAGGTCACTCCGGCGAAAGGTCACGTCACTCCTACGTGTGGTCGACGGGGTACCTTTCCCTCCTCCAGGCTCCACCTCGTCCTCCGCCGGCGCGCCCTCGCCCTCCGTCAGCGCGCCGTCGTCCTCAAGGGGCGCGGCATCGCCCTCCGCGGCCGAGCCGTCGTCCTCTGCGGGCGGGGGCGCCTCGGAGGGGTAGGCCCTGGTCCTCGGCTGCATGGGGGCCACGGGCCCTCGGGGAGCCGGGCCCTGGGCCCCGTCGGGCCTTCCCCCATGGACGTGTTGCTCCTCCGGAGTCGATGGGGCCCGTGGACGGCCCCGGGACAGCCCGAGAGCGGCGAAAAAGAGCCTCAGGGCCCGCTTCCCTCGTAGGGGGCCACATGCGAGCCCTACCCCTACCCCCCACGATTTCGGAGGGGTAGGGTTCGCATGTGGCCTCCTATCTCGGGACCCGCCGTCCCCCATGGCGCTCCTCGGCGGCATAGGCGGGAAGAGGTGCTGCGGCTCGGGCGCGGGGTGCGGGGAGCACTGCTCGGCGTCCCTGGCCCGTGGGGGCCTCCAAAAAGGCCGGGCCCCCCCAGCGGCGGGCAGGGCACCTTTCCCACAAGAGGGCGCCCACAGCGTCGCGCTTTCTTTCGCGCTGCTCGAAGCTCAGCGGCGAGCCCTGGGGGGAAGGGAGAAGGAGGCCTTCCCAGAAGGCTCGGAAGCCCACCGGCCTTCTGAGAAGTCTTCTGAGCCTTCCACGACGACAGGAAACTTCTCAGAGGGCGCGAGGGCTTCTGAGAAGTCCCGCCGCCGTCGGAAAGGCATTCTCCTTCTCACTTCCCCCCCTCGCTCGCCGCCGAGAAGCGTGAACCGCGAATAACTTCGCGCTCTGGCGCCGCCCCACGGGGGGGAGGACCAGGCGGGGGGGGATAAGTATTGCGTCCCAGGCTCGAACCTCAGGTTTTCCTGCGTCCTCGTCGGCTCTCGGCGGTTTTCCAGCCTCTGGGTGCTCTCCAGCAGCTGCGCCTCGCCGAGAGCCTTCCGAGGGTGCCCGGATCCATCCCGAACGGCCGCCAGTGGCCCGAGCTACGGCCCAAAGATCACAGAGGGGGGTGATGGCAGGGGCCACGAGGACGAGGAGCTTAGCTGCCCCGATGCGCAGCACGCAACATGTAGCGTATCGATACGGAGCTCAATGGGTAGGCTGAAAGCGTAGGTATGACGCGAAACGTTCGACAAGGCGTGGGAGAATACGCTGAGCCGACACGCATCGTATTGGGACGGACGCTTTAAGCACGGTACGTGCTGCGTTTCAAAACGGGCGTACCGAGGGAACTCAAATGAGATATCGGAGCCGAACCGCAAAGCGCGACCAACTTCGCGCACGAGGGCGCCCTCTCCCAACGCCCCCAGCGCCGTGGCGCCGTGAAACTTACACCCCGGCGACGTGCGGCAGGCTACGGTCGTGACGGCCCCGACGCCCGCTCCGGAAACCGCATGGATCGTCCAACCTCTGACGACCCCCGGACCCCATCGCGTTGCGAACAAAAATCACGACGGACGTCGGGCCGCGGGGCCGTCAAAAAACGAGCCAGGAGGAAACACCGGTCCCTGGGAATGGGTCCAGACCTCTGGGGGTCGACGCCATGAAAGTTTATGACGTCCAGGGTCTGGGACCGGCGGCCTCTCGATCGCCAGATCGTTGTAGATTGGACGATTCTGGGCTGTCGGCGGCGTTCAGCCTTGAACGCTCGCGACGGGGTCGCAGCCGCGTCGGCACGACACGAGCCTACCGTGCCCAACCCGCCCGAGACGGCTAGCAACACCATGCGGTGAGCCGGCCTGGGGCACCGCTCCGCGGGACTTGCTTGGAGCCCACGGGCGGCAGTTGCGCAGTTGGCAGCACCTCGGGAGGGGAGTGCGGATGCCTTTGTGCGGTGCGGCGGGGGCTGGGGAGGATCTCGCCATGATGCGGGGGAGAATGCCCACGCCCACCTTCTTGATTCACATCTCCCATCCCCCTTCTGAGACCACCTTCTTCAACGACATTATGGTACCACCGTCTGAAACCGCACTCTCAAACCACGTTCTTCATTACAACGCTGTGCCTCACGGTGTGTGAAGTCTCTTGAGTGCATGTTGGCATTTGAACGACGATTTGCGTCGTTTCCGACTGTCTCTGTTTTGGGCGGCGCCGTTCTAAAAATAGGGATATGATCGTACATCGTCTTCCCAGCGAAACCAGCGACTTATACTAGGGTTGTGGCCGTCCACTCACCATTTCTCACACGGCGCACCCCTCCGCATCGGGTCCAGCTGAGTCACAGCAAGACGTCATTCCGCTGAACCTCACCTCCCGGGAGCCCACGAAAGCGGCGCCCAGGGAAGCGGGTAGCTTGGGAGGAGGAGAAGGATGGGAGCAGCAGTGCTACATTCAAAACGGAAGCCTGACCACAGGAGGGTTGGGAATAAATCTGATCTGAATGAGACGAAGTCTGCTGGATCCCCCAAGAGATCACGAAAGGGCAGACACTTGCGTAGATCGCAGCGCCCAGGGATGTCGGGGATCTCGCAAGTGCGCAGTTCTGCCGATGTTCCACCCAAGGGAATAGATGCGCTCTGGTCGCAGTGGTGGCCATACTCCTGCATCGGCGACACTGGTGCTCCCGCTGCAGCGTGTGCCACATGTGCCGACCTCCACAGAAACTCTATCCAACATGACGGCTATCTCGCCGCATCGCTGGTCGAAGTCCTCAATCAGCAAAAATAACGCTCCCGCTGCAGCGCATGCCAGAGTCAAGAATTTCCATCGCGCGTTCGACCAACAGGACGACGCTCTCGCTGTGGCGCTGGCCGCACCCCTGCATCAGCATGTGGCTCGGGCCGCCCGAAAGTGGCTCTGGCGTGCGTCGGCCACGTCCAACCGCCTTTCGCTCTCGCCCCGGCCCTGCGCTGGTCGCATTCCTGAAATGGCGCGTGCATCTTATCTCCAGTTTGACTCCTGCTTGTTACGTGATACGTTTCCGTAGTTGGTGTCTGATTGCAGACTCTGCGAATATAGCGAGGCTCAACTCAACGGACAGGGATTACATGGAGAGATTGGAGATATGGCGCGAGCGCACATAGCTTGCCTTCCCCTCTCTCTCTCTCTCTCTCTCTCCCGTTCCTCTCCTGACCCTCCCTGCAAAGCGGCAGGGCCGCATGGAGGCAGTGGGTCTGATCGTTCCCAGATGCCCAACACCGATTTGCTTTCACAGCGAGCGAACCGAAGGGCTCGGCCGCTTTCCCAGGACGGGCTTCTCATCCTGAGTAGTGTTTGATAGGGCGACGAGATCTATACATATCCACTGCTCCTGGCCAGGCCCATCCTGGGCCCAGGAGCTGTGTATATGCCTCTCTGGCCAGGCCAGGAGGGCGTATACACCGCTCCTGGGCCCAGGATGGGCCTGGCCAGGAGCAGTGGATATGCATAGATCCCGTCGCCCTATTTGACGGCCCATGGCCCCGATGAGACCCCACAGAGGCCGAAAACGTCAGGCGACCTCGGGCCAAGACGTGCCCCCGAGACCCACGAGGCAAGCACGGGGCGCGGAGGTCAGAGCGCGGCCCGTGAGCCGACCGCCGTCCTGACTCAAGAGCTTCGGGGCGGAGCCGGCCGCGGCGACGAGCGGCCTCCCGGAGACGGAAAGGCTCGGACAAAAACGCAAGCCGACCTCGTTCCTCGAAGTTTTCAGGGCGAGAAGAATCTATGGACACAACGTGCTATTTTTTGTTTTTGCATCGCTTCATCTCGAAACTTTGCGCGATGGCTACCGTGTGGGTGTCCTCGGCTACTTGTGCAATACACATGCCCGTTGCAAGGCTATGGACACAGCGTGCTATTTGATACGTTCCGGAGATTCCGGGATTTCTGACAGCCTTCGCGCGGGGTACACTCTGGCGTCGAATATTGTCTACTCTGGCTGGCGCCGCTGGTCGGTCACCCATTCGCGCCGCTGGTTTGTCTCTGGGCCCCGCCCTGGGCCTGCTCTCGCCGAACAGATTCTGCTCCGCCTCCTCCACGAGAGTCTTCACGTTGCGGAACTCCAGGCCTCGGCAGCATGGGGAGGGGGTCCGACAAAAAGCCGTCGTTCGTGCCCGCCACGGCACATCTTGCTCCTCCGCTGCGTCTCCCTCCTTTCCCTCCTCCTCTTACTCTCCTCCTTCCTCCTCCTCCTCCTCCTCCTCCTCCTCCTCCTCCTCCTCCTCCTCCTCCTCCTCCTCCTCTTCATGCTTCTCCTGCTGCTCCTCGTCCTCCTCCTCATCCTCCTCGTACCCTGCCTCCCCCTCCTCCTTCCTCGCAGCCCTCCACCCCTCCCCCAGAACCCCCTCCCACACAGACGCCCCATGAACGGCGGACTTCCGTCCGCCTCAACAGGCCGCTCACAAGACTCGGCCACGACCGGCACCTTCCCAGCAGGTCCTCGGCAGGGATGCGTAGGGACAAGCGATCCTGCCGGACCGCCAGTTGGGGACCCCGAGCTGCCCCTCGGCCGAGAGCGCAGGAAGACGCGGCAGACAAACTCGGCAGGCAGAACTCAAGACGCAAACCGTTTAGCTGGAGAGCTGGAGGAACAGATAACATCGAGTGAGGATACATCGAGAATATCTGAAATCTGGCGGTTCTGGAAGATGTCTCGGGCGCCGCGTCCCTGTCCAAGCGTTCCGGAACGCTCTGAGCGTGTTTTGGAACGCTCTGGAACGAACTTGTCCTCGTCCTAGCCCCGCCCGATTAGATGCTTGTTCGGGGGACCTCCCCGGAACCACTCGCTCATCTCATGCGTCGATGCTGCGTCGAAAGTCCATCGACTGAAGCCCAACTTGAGTCGAACTTTGAGTCGGGCTAGAGTCGAACTAGAGTCGAGAGGGTCGAGCCAGAGTCGAAGTAGAGTCGAAGGGATCCGTTTGGTGGGCCCCAGAAGGTCCCCCAAACGAACATCTAACGAGGCAGCCCCCACTAGGGCGGAGCCGATATTCTCTTCGGTCGTCTTGAAGGCTCTTGAAGAATCGATTTTTCTGTATTAACCCAAAGTCAAGAGGTCCCGCGAACCATCACGAGGGCTGCCACAATGGGAGGCCTGCGAGCATGGTGCGAGAAGGCGCTGCCCGACATCTGCCAGTTCTCCCTCCCGTGCTTCCGAGCAACGCATGGTGTTCTTTATCAGGCGTGTCGCAGCGCGGTGAAATACAAATGGCGGTCCAGGCTTCTCGGTCCTCGGAGGGATTTGCTGACCCACGCTCGCCCAAAGAGTGCGTTCGAGCATTTGCGATGCCTGCAGCGCTCATACCTCCCAGGACTCCGGAACGCCCCGCTTCAACAGGGCCCCCTGCGAATGACCCTCAGCGCATGGCCGTTTGCAAGTCTTCTCTTTGCGCCATTCCTCTCGTTGATTGGAGCGCAGGGGTGAGCGACCACTGCGCCCATGTCCATGAACCAGCAGTATGGGCTGCCGCCGCGGAAAAAACTCCGTGCCACGCGGTTCTGCAAGGCCGCGCGCAGGTGGCCGCCCTTTGGCAGCCTTCATCCAGTCGCAGGATTAGTTACTACCAAGGGCGTTGCCCTCGCGCAGCTAGCTAAACATCTTGGTGGTGCATCTGCGTCACGCGGGGGGAATTGCCGGCCTGCCAAGCCATTATCGCCTTGGGGACTCCATTTGCGCGTTGTGGTGATGGCACAGCGCGTCCAGTGGAGATTGGCTATCGTTTTCTGCCTGTGCAGTTGGCGTGGGTCCTGGCTCGCCAGTGCCTCCTTTTCGGGCGCAGCTACTGCCCTAACTCTTCCAGCTCTCATAAGATGCACAGCTGCGGCTTGGAATAATTGCTGCGCGACTTGTCCGCAACGTGGGGGCCCGATACGAACGCGCTCTTCTTGGAAAAATCGGTGCGTCTGTGTATGTGCATGTGTATGCTCACTCCCGCGTGCCACTGGCAACCTCAAGACTGCGACCTCGAAAGGTGCTGATCGTGATCCCCCACCGTTCCCCCTGTCATGTTCAGGCGTGGTACAGTCAACCCATATAGTAAGGATGCTCGGTAATGATGCACGGGCCTTGGATGTCCATGCCGAGGCTCTTCGACCTGGGCTGGCCATCGAGAGTGGTTGAGAATGGACCGAAGATGACCGAAAAGGCAAGACTGCAAGGGTACCCATGGGAAGTCGATCATCCTTACTATGTGGGATGACTGCAGCATGCCAAGTTCTGCCTGGTAGAACTCGGTAGTCTTCTAAAGAGCCCTTCCCCTCCCCGTAACAGAATCTTGCGTGCACCGCCCCCGTTTCCCAAGAGCTCATGGGCGGCGCTCGACGCCTCCCGAGGCTCTCCAAGGCGTCCACGATACTCAAGAGGGCTTCCAAGACGGCCCAGGCAAGCCACAAAGGCCGCCGAGATAGCCCAAGATGCCTCCTGCACAGCCTACAGTCAAACCATATAGTATGGATGCGCGGTCAGGATGCAAGGACCTTGGAAAGCCATGTTGGCATTTGTCAAGTGGGGCTGGCCGGCGAAAGTTGCCAGGGATCGGCCGAAGGGGCACGGATGCAAGGGAAGCCTTGGAAAGTTGCTCACCCTTGCCATGCGGGTTGACTCCGATGTGGCCCCAAGGCAGCCCAAGGTGGCCTCCAGACAGCCCACGAGGGCCACATGAGGGTCCCCCACTGGGCCCGAAGAGGCTACAGTACATATGTGTCTTCCGGTTTTTGACGTTGTTCGCCTTCTCGCCTTTTTGGGACTCCGTCAGCTCAAGACGCTTGAGCTTGAAGACAGCCCAAGAGGGCCTGAAGACACCCCACGAGGCCTCCAAGACAGCCCCACGACAGCTGAAGAAGGCCCACGGGCGGCCGAGGACGAACCCAAGAGGGCCCGAAGGTGGCCCCAGAGGACCTCCAGAGACCCAGGTCGGCCAAAGGGAGCTCCTCGACTGCCCCAGACAATCCCAAGACGGCCCCCGAGACCCCCCCGACGGTCAACAGAGCAAGACAACCCAAGAGAGCCCCACGACGGCCCCAACGTGGCCCAATGGACGCCCCAGACTGCCCGGCAGAAGGACGGAAGAAGGGGAGGAAAACGACGAAGACGAGAAGAGACCACCCTACACAACGTGGAAGAGTGTACCACATGTTACGGCACTTCCAAGCTTTGGGACATGAGGTGCCACACTTCACGGCTTCTTTGCCCCCTCGAAAAATCGAAATCCGGAAAGCTGCTCTGCCACGGTGGCAGGACTTGCCGCAGGCAGCTGGATATCTTTTCTGGGCCGATCCGCCCTGGATATAGTCAGTATTGCGAGCCAGCCGATCCGCCGCCCCCTGTCGATCCGTCGCGAAGGTGCCTGGCGTGCTGGATGATTTCGGTTTTGGTTTTCGGTTTTTTCCCAACCATCCTGTGGTGTTGGGTCCTCGTTTTGAAGAGACGGCGCCCCGCGTTCCTCCTTCCTCCTCCTTCCTCCTCCTCCCCTTCCTCCCCCCTCCTCCCCCTCCCACACCCATTCTGGCACACCCCTCACACGCTTCGTGGCCCCATAGGGAGCTCCACCGAAGGCCCCAGTGGCTGCGCCCGCATGCGGTTCCACCCCCCATTCTGGCACACCCCTCACACGTTTCGTGGCCCCATAGGGAGCTCCACCGAAGGCCCCAGTGGCTGCGCCCGCATGCGGTTCCACCCCCCATTCTGGCACACCCCTCACACGTTTCGTGGCCCCATAGGGAGCTCCACCGAAGGCCCCAGTGGCTGCGCCCGCATGCGGTTCCACCCCCCATTCTGGCACACCCCTCACACGTTTCGTGGCCCCATAGGGAGCTCCACCGAAGGCCCCAGTGGCTGCGCCCGCATGCGGTTCCACCCCCCATTCTGGCACACCCCTCACACGTTTCGTGGCCCCATAGGGAGCTCCACCGAAGGCCCCAGTGGCTGCGCCCGCATGCGGTTCCACCCCCCATTCTGGCACACCCCTCACACGTTCGTGGCCCCATAGGGAGCTCCACCGAAGGCCCCAGTGGCTGCGCCCGCATGCGGTTCCACCCCCCATTCTGGCACACCCCTCACACGTTTCGTGGCCCCATAGGGAGCTCCACCGAAGGCCCCAGTGGGCTGCGCGCCCGCATGCGGTTCCACCCCCCATTCTGGCACACCCCTCACACGTTTCGTGGCCCCATAGGGAGCTCCACCGAAGGCCCCAGTGGCTGCGCCCGCATGCGGTTCCACCCCCCATTCTGGCACACCCCTCACACGTTTCGTGGCCCCATAGGGAGCTCCACCGAAGGCCCCAGTGGCTGCGCCCGCATGCGGTTCCACCCCCATTCTGGCACACCCCTCACACGTTTCGTGGCCCCATAGGGAGCTCCACCGAAGGCCCCAGTGGCTGCGCCCGCATGCGGTTCCACCCCCCATTCTGGCACACCCCTCACACGTTTCGTGGCCCCATAGGGAGCTCCACCGAAGGCCCCAGTGGCTGCGCCCGCATGCGGTTCCACCCCCCATTCTGGCACACCCCTCACACGCTTCGTGGGTGGCTCCATGGGGAGCTCCACCGAACGCCCCAGTGGCTGCGCTCGCATGTGGTCCCCCCCCCCATTTCGGCACACCCCTCACACGGTTCGTGGCCACATAGAGAGCTCCACCGAAGGCCCCAGTGGCTGCGCTCGCATGCGGTTCCACCCCCTTTTTCGGCACGCCCTTCACACGTCTCGTGGCCCCACAGGGAGCTCCACCGAACGCCGCAGTGGCTGCGCTCGCATGCGGTTCCACCCCCCATTTCGGCACACCCCTCACACGCTTCGTGGCTCCATAGGGAGCTCCACCGAAGGCCCCAGTGGCTGCGCTGGCATGCGGTTCCACACCCCATTCTGGCACACCCCTCGCACGTTTCGTGGCCCCATAGGGGGCTCCACCAAAGGTCCCAGTGGCACTGCCCGCTTGCGTCCGCCACCACCCAGCACAGCCCTTGTTCCCTGCGCTTCACCCACCCAGAACAGCGCTTCGTAGCCCTATAGGGAGCTCCACCAAAGGTCCCAGCGGCACCGCCCGCATGCGTCCGCCACCACCCTGCGCAGCCCTTGCTCCCTGCCTGCGTTTCACCCACCCAGTACAGCGTTTCGTGGCCCCATAGGGAGCTCCACCGAAGGTCCCAGTGGCACCGCTCGCATGCGTCCGCCACCACGCAGCACAGCCCTTGCTGACCGCGTCTCACCCACCCAGTACAGCGTTTCGTGGCCCCATAGGGAGCTCCACCGAAGGTCCCAGTGGCACCGCCCGCATGCGTCCGCCACCACCCAGCACAATTGCGGCATTCACAACTGCGTATGGTTGGGTCATTCGCCAAGCTAATTCCAAAAGAACTCCCCTTGGGGCTCCGGCGCGTCCCGCTGGCCACCCGGAAGACCCGGTTGCAAACGGTCTTCCTGCCCCAGACGGCCACAAGATGGCCCAAGATGGCTTCCAAGACGGTTAAGATGGCCCCGAGATGCCTCCAAGACGGTCCAAGATGCCTCCAAGACGGCCTAAGATAGCCTCAAGATGGTTCAAGATGGCCCAAGAGGACCTCAAGAGCCCCCCAAGACGCTCCAAGAGGTCCTCAAGGAGAGCCCGAAGAGGCCAAAATCATTCGTGTTCCTTTGATTTTTCAAGGATTTTGGCATTTGCTTCTTTTCGGCCTTCCGAAGACCTCAAGACGGCCCAAGAGGCCCCCAGCATCGACCCTAAAGCGCCCAAGAGGCCTCCAAGATGGCCCCATGACGGCCCAAGAGGCCCCCATGAAGGCCCCAAGAGGGCCCCAAGACGGCCCAAGAGGCCTCCAAGACGCCAAAGACGGCCTCCAAGACGGACCCGAAGCGCCCCAAGAGGGGCCCAAGTCGGTTCAGAGAGGCCTCCAAGACGGCTCCCGACGGCGTCAGACGGGCCACGAACGCCCTAAGACGACCAAAGAAGCCCCCGAGGAGCCCCCAAAGGGCCCCAAGAGGCCTTCAACAGGCCCCAAGAGAGCCCAAGATAGCCCCAACTTGGCCTCCAAGACGTTCCCAAGATGGTCCAATCGAGCCCAAGAGTGCCTCAAGAGGCTCCGAAGAGGTATCCTCCCCTTCTCCTTTTTCCTCCTTCTCCTCCTCCTCCCCTTCCTCCCCCCCGCGTTCCCCGAAACCTTTCCAAACCGACTCGGGGAACACATGGTCCGATAGCTTGGCCAAGCTCTAGCCCAGCTGTCAGACACATAGGCGCTTCCACAAAGGCAGGGGGCGGCGGTGATTCGCAGTAGGCGTCTTCGATAAAGCGTTCCCCTGCTCCTGGCATGAACAAGTGCGGTGCCTACCAACAACTCCCGCTGACAGATCTCCGGCCCGCAAGCCGCATCAATGCGTGCGACTGTGTGTGCTGTGGTCTTGTCTGTTCATGCGCCGCTTGGCTGAAACCGGACAGGGGGATCACGTCACCCAGCACTTGTTGAGCAATCGGCGGCGTGCCACCAGCACAGGAGCCGAGCACGGGCGGGTCACGGATCGGGGGCGCTCTGAGCTCCAGGCCTACCGCCTCGGCCACCCGCTTGGCGTCCTCTGCAAGACCCCAGCTTACAACACGTTCCTGGCCCCCTCCAGAGGTGCGCTGTGGCGCCAGGATCTCGACGGGCATCGAGCCATGGCGACGGGAAGCCTCCCGGAACCCCGAGAAGAATCCAAAAACCTCGATCCGCGACCTTCGAGCCTGGAGCCTCGATTCTCACAATTCCCACGGAGGGGAGGGCGGGAGTGGCGATTGGACCCGCAAGTGCACGCAGAGCATCCGATCCTCCAGCATGGTGCCGCCCCCGGCATCGCCGACCTCGTGGAGCAGAGCCTGGAGCCGAGACTTCAAGGTAGCCATGGGGTCCCCGCGCGCGGGGGCGGGCCCCCGCCGCAAACGACTGAGGCCGCCAACCCCGCCGATCTACCCCTCGCGCGCGCGGGAACGTTACCTCGCGCGCGCCTGAAGACACCTCATGCCAAGACGGCTGTCGCGACGAGCGTGGCGGCTGCCGCGGTGACGGTGGCGGCGGTGATGCCTGATGGCGCTGCCAGCGCGGCTGGCGATAGCTGCGGAATTGGCCGAGTCGATGTGGCAGTACGGCGTCTGCCAAGTCACGTCCAGCATACTATCGGTTTCATCATCACCGCCCAATGAATTGCACCTCGACCGCAAACAAAAGGGTCACGTGCGCAATCAAAGGTGTAGGCAAAATCGTGCGTGTAAGCATGTGCATGCCCATGTGAATCATACACGAACGACTGCTTGTGGCTGCGCGCGTGTGCAGGTGAAGGATGCAAAATGTCCCCCACCACCGTACCGCGAACCACTGAGTGGAATATTCTCAGGCATTGTAATATTTCCAATGCTGAATAATATCATTCGGGGCCCGGGTGCCCACGGAAGTTCTGCGGCTGTGTGTGCGTGACTGTTGATGTTTGTCGCGTATCTGCCCCAGCGGTCATCAAAGGGTTCCAAGACGGGCCTAGAGGGCCCCAAGGGTTTCCCAGTACGGCCCATGAGACGCCGAGACGGCCAGAGAGCGCCCCGAGACAGCCGAAAGCGACCTCAAGACCGCCTAACAAGCTTCCGAGACGCGTCAAGACAGCCCCAACAGGATCCCCACGAGCGCCCCAGGATACCAAAAAAATTGATCACGATATGGTGTTTGAGAAAATTGCGCGTTTCGCCTTGTCTGGTTTTGAACGCCCCGCGGCGGCCCAAGAGTCCATTAAGATCGCTCCAAGACGGCCACAGAGGCCCCACAGATGTCCCCAAGACGGCCCAAGAGGGCCCTCAGACGGCCTAAGAGGCCCCCAAGACGGCACAAGAAGGCCCAAAGAGGGGGAAAGCGAAGGGACCTCGGGAGCCTTTCCTTCCAATATGACATTCAGACACCCATTGCTGCCTGGCCCAAGATCCCTCCTAGAGGCCCCCGAAAGGTATCCGACCCGCAGAAGCATCCTAAAGGCCTCCGACCCACAACACACGCACGGTGACGGGATGGGTCGTAGGCACCATAGATTGTTAACGGCAGTATATGTACAGACTGTACCACATGGCGTGACCAAGCACGGTCAAGTACCGCACGCTTGGCTTGTCATCACATTGCAGTGCAACTCACATCAAGGCAGACGCGCAGGGCATTGCGCAGCATCGCGTAGCATAGCGTAGCACAGCGCATTGAACAAATGAGAGCGTATACCTGAACACGACCTCCGAACAACCAGAGGGACCCGAAAGAGACAGTGGGAGTCCGAGCGGCCCTGGCAGGCACCGCAATGACCACCCAGCGAACGGGGCCAACACAGGCATAGACACCTGGCCATTTGCACAGAAGAAGCCTACTTAGCAAAGCCTGCCTTGGTGGTAAAGCAACTCGCCCCTCCCTCTCCCAAGTCATTCTTGATGCTTTTGAGTTGCGACAAGCTGTAGAGACCTCGGGCCGGGGTGCAAGAGCAGCACTTGGCCCCGCAGCTCCAATCGCTCTCCACACCACCCTCCTGCTCACCCTAGAGGGACAGTTTCGGCGCAGGGGTGATGTGTGGAGAAGAGGGGTATGGAGGAGGGACAACTTCACACGAGGAGGGAGCATGATCGCCCGCGCGCGCATATGCAAGCCTGAGCGCCTGTGCGCGGCCAGAAGAAAACAAGCTCACAACTGCAGCAACAACAACGACGACAGCATCAACGACAGCAACAACAACAATAACGACACCAACAACAATCAGCATACGACTGTTCGCTCTAACTTGCCCGTGTGTCATTCAAAACGAGTTCCCCGCACCCTCGATACCCGCCTTTTTTGTTTTCGATCACACCCCCTTTGGGGGGATTCTTTCTCTTTGCGGGGGGCGGCGGGCTTGGACAGGCGGGCAAACCTGAACGGGCGGACGATCCTTCGTGGGCGTACATGTGCCCGCCATTGGAATTGGTGTGGACCCTGCAAGAGGAGGGGAACAACGAGGGAGAGTGGGAGGAAGGGAGGGGGAGGGACGAAGGAAGAGGGCGAACGCCAGAAGAGAAGGAGCGAAGACGGGGGCGGTTGATTAGAGACAGAGAGAGAGAGAGAGAGAGAGAGAGAAAAGGACAGATAAGAGAGGTAGAGAAAGAGCGAGAGAGAGAGAATATATATATATAGAGAGAGAGAGAGAGAAAAAGACATAAAGAAAGAAAGAGGGAGGGAGGAGGCAGGAGAGGGGAGGGAGAAGGGAGGAGGAGAGGAGGGAGAGGGGATAGGGCAGAGAGGCATAAGGATGAGGGACGAGAGGAGGGAGAGAGAAGGGAGGAGAGGAGGGAGGAGAGGAGGGAGGAGGTAGGAAGGAGAGGGAGGAGGAGCAGGAAGGCAAGAGCGTGAACGGTCGAGGAAGTCCTAGGCGAACACGCCGTTCCTGAAAGATTTCTCGGGCGGGAGCCCACGACGGGCGGGCGATCCCCTGACGGGCGGGTCGGGCGGGTGGGACATTCAAGCGGGATGCCTGAGCATGGCGAGAGCGCGATTCCTAAGTCAATTGTGACCGCGTCCTTGGCGCAGCGTGTTTCCTGAGCGTTGAAAGCGCGATTTCTGAATAAATCGCATGGGGGTCACAAGCAGAAGCGCAATTCCTGAATAAAATGTGAAAGGTTCTCTGGCGGAAGCGGGAGTCTTGATTAAATTGCGAAGAAGTCTTGACTCAATTGTGAGGAAGTCTCAAGCGGGAGCGCCGTCCCTCAGTAAAGTGTGAGGAAGTCTCAGATGGGAGCGGGGGTCCGGATTAAATTGCAAAGTGATCGCAAGCGGGAGCACCGATCCTGAGTAAATCGTGAGGAGGTCTCAGGCGGGAGCGGGGGCCCTGAATAAATTTGGAGGACGTCTCAGGCGGGAGCCGTTGTTGTTGTTATCCGGGGGGCCAGGGGCACAGTTTGAACTCCAAGATTTTCCCTGTCAAAAAACAGGGTGCGAGCGTCGAGGGGCACACTTTGATTGAGAGCAAAAAACATGCACCGGTGAGGGGGGATCAACAATAATTATTATTCAGAAAGAAAGTTCAACGACGACAACGACAACGACAACGACAACGACAAAAACAACGACAACGACAACAACAACAACAACAACAACAACAACAACAACAACAACAACAACAACAACAACCATTTTAAGGCTGTACGCTCATACTTGCCCGCGAGTCATTCAACACGTATACCCTACACCCTCGATGCCCGCCCTCTTCGTCTTCGATCACACCCCTTTCGGGGGGATTTTTTCTCTTTGCTGGGGCCGGCGGGCTTAGACGTACGGGCAAACCGGAACGGGCGGACAATCCTTCGGGGGCGTACATCTCTCTGCCCGCCATTGGAATTGGCGCGGGCCCTGCAAGAGGAGGAGGGGAAGAACGAGGGAGAGTGGGAGGAAGGGGAGGGGGAAGGACGAAGGAAGAGGGAAGATACCACGTTGTGAAGGCGTCCTTGGCGCGTGCGTGGTTCCTGAGCGCCGAAACGCAATTCCATAATAATGTGTGAGGACGTCGCACGCGAGAGCGCAGTCCTGAGTACATTGTAAGGAAATCTCAGGCGGAAGCGGGGGCCCTGACTAAGTTGCGAAGAAGTCTCAAGCGGGAGCGCCGTTCCTGAGCAAATTGCACGGAAGTCTCAGGCGGGAGCGGGGGTCCTCACTAAATTGCGAGGAAGTCTCAGGCGGGAGCGCCGTTCCTGAGTCAATTGCGCGGAAATGTCAGGCAGGAGCGGGGGTCCTGAGTAAAATTCGAAGAAGTCTCAGGCGGGAGCGCCGTTCCCACGTAAATTGCACGGAAGTCTCAGGCGGGAGCGGGGGTCTTGATTACATTGCGAGGAAGTCTCAGACGGGAGCGCCTTTCCTGAGTAAATTGCGCGGAAGTCTCAGGCGGGAGCGGGGGTCCTGAGTAAAAATCGAGGAAGTCTCAGGCGGGAGCCGTTGTTGTTGTAGCCCGGGGGGCAGGGGCACAGTTTGAGCAGGAAGACTTTCCTTGAGAAAAAACAAGGTGCGAGCCCCGGGGGTGGCACTTCAATCGAAAAAAATCAATGTGCACCGGTGGGGGGGGATCAACCATAATTATTCTTCAAGAATGAGAGTTCAACAACAACAACAACAACAACAACAACAACAACAACAACAACAACAACAACAACAACAACAACAACAACAATTACTAGCACGTGGGGACACTCCGTTCTCACCAGTGCCAGGGTTTTCATAGGAGGCGGGCAATACCCCCACTTTGTGGGGGGGCCGGTTCAAGCTCTACCAAATTTCCAAACGACTCTTCGCCACCACCCACACCCAGCTTCCCGCCCTATGACGTTCGGACACTTCACTTCGTGGCATGCGGACGACCGTGGCTACTATTCAGGGCCCCGCGGCCGACGACGACGGCGTGCGCGCGCGAAGAAAAAACGAATGTGTCCCGCATGGTATTATTTGACAGGGATGATGGCCCTGGCAGGTGCGCAACCGTTGTTGCAGAAGTTCGAAAAAGTTGCTCGCAAAAGCCCGTTTGACAGAAATGTTTAAAAAGTGTTGGGTTTCCTACGAATCCGCAAGAGCGCGCGGGATGAAATTTTGACATTTTTTTTTGAAAAACCATTGGTTTTTTGATGTTTTTATGTTAAAATCGCTACGAAAACTAAGGTTTTGGAAGGATTTCGTCTTGCGCGCGCGAATGTCCACTTTACCTTATTTTTTGCAAGGGATTCTTGAAGTTTGGTTATGTTAGAACAAGAAATGTCCACTTTAGCTTATTTTTTGCAAGGGAAAACCGATCGTAACAACACAACCGGATCCGGACTCCCCCGTTTTGCCTGAGACTTCCTCACGAAAATGATGAAAATGAGGCTGCGGCCTAGGCGCGGCGGGGGGGTCGTGCACCAGGGGTCCCAGCAATAATTATTCTTTAGAAGTAATAATGTTCAACAACAACAACAACCACAAACATGTTCGGGCCCAATCCGCATGTTTCTATTTTCGTGCTCTGACACTGGCGGGCAGCGCTGATGTCAGGGTCTTTCGTCCCGCCGCCTCTGCGAACACTATTGGCTTCCCTGGGGTCGGCGGGCACATCAGGTGGAGGTGGCGGAAAAATCCTAGCAATTCTGCGGAACAAGAGCCAGGGCCGGGGGGGAATCGGGGCAACGCGGGAGCAGTCCGACGGGGGGGGGCTGGCTTTGATAGCCGGAGCGTGCAGGCGAGTCGCCGTGAAGGCTGCGGCACGTCATGCAAGGAGATCGCGGCGACAGCCGCGAGAGGAAAACGGGGGGCGACCATGGCCTGTGCCACCATGGCGCCACCGGCCGACGCGGCGGGGGCGATACTACGGGCCGGCCCTGCTGAGGGCTCGGCACACCATGCTGGGCGGACGCGGCCACGTCTGGTCAGGCCGCGAGCCCGCGTGAGGGAGTCAGTCGACGAGGACTCCCAGGGGAGTGAACCCCATGGACTCCAAGAGCTCCTTGTTGTGCACGGCGGCGAATTTTTCTGTCCCGTCAATGCCCGCCACGTCCGTGATCGCCTCCTCGCCGCCAGGGTGCTCTTCCACGTAATCTGCGAGCTCGTACACCTTTTGCGCGAAGGCAGAAAATTGCACGGCAGGTCCGCGTCGCGATAACGTCGGCAATAGATAGCTTCTGACACCGCGTGGATCGCTCAACCTTGAACGATCGCGGTTCTTCGATCGCTCGACATGGACCGATCATGGGCCACTGGCGGCGTTCTACTCGCGCTGGGGTCGCCTGACCTACCGTGGGGCACAGTCACACACGTTTTGGGTGCGCTTCTCCCGAAAACTCCTCCGACCCTGTCGGCGCATGCGAGGGGTTCTCTTCCAGGCATCGCGTCAAACTGCCAGCCCAGCACAGGACCATCGGGCCACGGTGCCATCGAAGTCGAAGGGAATCCTCTTCCCTTCGGCCCTTTCCCGCTGGGGGGGGGGGCCGGAGCGCTAGAATCGAGCCAGGTCGCAGTCGAGTTGAGAGCGAGCGCATTCCACTCCGGTTCCTGTCTCGCGGGTTTGGGGCCGTGCGGGGTAAAAAAAGAGTCCTGGGGAGGGGGGACCCTCAGCCACCCCGCCAACCCAGGCAAAATCGAGCCATTAAGAAATCGAGACGAGAGAGGCCTCCTTGCCCCGTTCCCTCTGATCCTTTCGTCGACGAGTGTGTGTGTGGGGGGGGAGGTCGAATGGAGGAGGTTACAGGGAAACCGTGGACCACCCCTCTGACCCAAGCAGAATCGAGCCAAGCTGTCGAGTCGAAGGGAGGCCCATACCTTTGATGATTTATTTCCTGCCGCGGAGGGGTGGGGGGGATCCTGGCCAAAAGAGGGAGGCTAAGTAGATGAAACCTGCGCACCGAGCCAGACCAGCAAGACCTGGCTGGCTAGGCTCCAGCGGCCAGGGGGTGAAAATGCATGCGTGTGAGACATTCGGCGGTCCCCCTGCATTTCCCTTTTTCCTGAGGTTCGCAAACCCTTTAGGGGGGGCGAGAGTCGGAGGGAGGCGTCGGCGGGCTCACCAGCGCACCTCTCAGCTCCTCGGGGCACCCAAATCCACCCTTCCAAGAGGCGGGCGCCAACGCGCCAGGGTGGCTTCCAGAACATCATACATGGAATTCGGCCTCGGAGCGGCCCAACAGGCCCGAAGACACCCAAAGAGGGCCCCAAGACGACCAACAAGATGGCATCAAGAGACACACAGGACTGACAGCGTATAAGTTGTTCCAGGATGTCCACATGGTCGCCTTGTCGATGAAAACACCAAATGGCCTGAGAAGTTTCCCACACCAGACCAGGACGGCCGAAGCGGCCCCCAAGAGGGCCAGAGATAGCCCAAGAGGGCCCGAGACTGCCCAAGATGCCCCCATGACGGCCCTCAAGAAGGCCCCAAGAGGACCAAGACAAGCCGAGGAGGTGAACTCGGGAGGGGCCCGGGAAGTTATCCCCGGCAAGGTGGCCCCCAGGACGCCAAACATGCCCGCAAGAGGACCCCCAAGAGACCCCCAGGGAGCCCCGCCCCAAAAAACACCACACGACGATGAAAAGGCTCCCAATGAGGCCGCCCCCCACGCCTCCAAGAGGTCCCCCAGTAAACCCCGCAACAAACGCGGAGGAAGAGGAGGACAGATCAGCAACATGCACAGCACGACGCGAAGCAGCAGGCGGTACATGCGAAATCGGAAGAAGCACACATCCTCTCCTGGGGGTCGGCGGAATAGCGCAGGCCCCTGGAACCGAACACCTCCTCCTCCTCCTCCTCCTCCTCCTCCTCCTCCTCCTCCTCCGAACATCGCTTTCCCTCCGGTTCCTTCCGCTCCGGGGGAGCTGGGGCCCCAAGGGAGGGCACGGGGAGGGCGCCCGATGGGCCTCTCGGTCGCCGCCCGCCCGAGCACCACCGAGCCCTGCCGTGCTCGAGCCGAGGATTCTCGGCGGGGGGTCCGTCGGATCCCTTCCTCGCCCGGAGGAGGGCGGGGTCCTTCGGTAAGATAGCGCTTGGGGGGGAACCTGCCTGCCATAGCAAGATGCAGTCGTGTCGTCAACGAGTGGAAAAGAAAGCCCCTTCCGTTTGATGCCTGCCCCGCCAGGAGGTCGTCGGGGGGGAGGGGAAGAGGTCCCATTGGATGGGCCAACTGTGCCCCGGCAGCCTGAACAATATCGAGCAGTCTCGCAATCGAGTCGCAGGAGAAGCACTGTCATTCGCTCCCATCCCTGCGGAAGGGGGGGCCCGCGGGGGTTAGGGGGTCCCAGAAGGGGGTCCAGGCACCTTTCCTCAGGCGCGCCAGCCCAAGCTAACTTGAGCCATGCCACACTCGCGTCAACTTGCCCCTGGCCCTTGTGACATCTGGGTTGCCACTGCTGTTTGCTCTTGTTTCCCCTTCCGCATTTTGCGTCATTGGTTCTCTCTTTTCAGGATCGGCGGAGTCAGCCGTAAGGGTCAACACACCGATAGCCAAAAGCACTGCGCGACTCCACAAAAGGCCATGCCGAGGCCATGCCTTTGTATCCTTCAAGCCTTGCCGTACAGAGCAACCCAATTGCCCTTCTCCCTGCCGGCGTGCCGACTCAGCTCCTCCCGCGTAATCTGCCGCGAGCCCGCCTGCTCCGGCTGCGCGGGCGCCGGCTCCTCTGGCGGGCCAAGGACCCAGGATCAGCCCGGGAAGGACCAGAGGCGAAAGAGCAGCGCACGAGGCCGAGGGGGAGGCTGAGGGGGCAGGAGGCGCAGGCCAACGGAGGACGTGGAGGACAGCGACGAGGAGAAAGAGGAGTGGGAGGGAGGGGGGGGGGGGGAGGGGAAGGGAGGAAGGGAGGGAGGGGAGGGGAAGGGGAAGGGAATGGGAAGGGGCGCGACGAGGAGGAAGATGGGGGAGAGAGGCAGGGGAGGGGCAGGGGAGGAGGGGCCGCCCTCTGCCTCCCCTGGCCCAGCAGGCCCGGGCCTGAGCCACAGCCCGGACCTCCGCCCGCTCCCATGCCCTCGATGCGTGGGCTCCGGATCGGCCACACGCAAGAGCGGCCCGACTCCGAGTTCCTCAATAAGCGTCGGGGGGGCGTCACCCCCAACGACAGCCCCACATCGACCCCCATCGCGGGCAGCCACCGCGCGCCGAAGGCGCTCCGACCCCGTCGCGGCGCGACGACGAGGCGAGGTTGACCCCCGTCGGGGGGGTAACCCCCTTCCTTACGTTTACTGAGAAACCCAAAGTAGGCAAGAGTGACCTTTGGTGCGCGGCTTCGAGGGGGGGGGGGGGGGCGATGGGGCAAAAACCAAGCGCGCAAGCCGCCACTATAGCTTCGCGCTCAGCGATCGGGGGACCCCATTGGGCCCGCACCACAGGTCACTCCGGCGAAAGGTCACCGGAGGACTGGACCACTCTCCCGGGCCGGAATGTCGTCCTGCGTCGTTTTGTGGAAGGTCCCGAGGCCCGGCGAGGGACCCCGGAGGCCGAACACGACCAAGAACTCGCCGCTCCCATGTTTGCTCGGAGCGTCGGATCTCTGGGGTCATGACATCTTCGCGCTCCGCGCCACGACACGCGCCTTTCTCTTCGCGCCCTCGCGCGGATGGCACCGACGGAGAGAAGGGCGGCTCCCGAACCCAAGCCACGAGGCGCTATAGAGCGCAGTATATTCTCTTCGAGCCCCTGGAGGTGACCCCGTGGGCCGCCACCACCGAACCTGTTTTTTGGAAAACAAACGAAACCGACGCAGCTAAAGCAGTATGCCGACTAATATGAGTATGTGGGGGGAACGATCAATGATATAGTTTCCGAATCTTCGGCATCCGCTTCGCTTCGGCTCCATCATTCGCGTCGACCGTCCAGGCGCGCGCCCGAGGAGGGCGGGGGGAAGCGATCAAACAAATATTTACACTGACGCCTCTTAAAGTGAGCCAGCTTTGTTTTAGAGCACGTGGGGACCTTGAAAGTGGGGGCAGGCGGAGCTGGAGCGACAACCCTACTGAACACCAATGGCCTGCCATGCAGAAGCGCGAATATCCAACACAGCAGCAGAAGGCACAGAAGCAAGTGCCGCCAGCGAGCCTAGAGGGGGAGGTCCCCCCGAAGGTGTTCAAGAGGCGAGCCCGAGCCACCTTGGGCCCAAGTCCAGAGCGGTGCCTGACCTGGCCTCAGGCCTATCAGGGCCCGCGATAAAACTCGGAAACGCATCAGCTCCTGGGATTTAGCCCCCAGGGTGGGAGCGGTGGGGCCGAAACTGCAGCCAAACAATAGTAATGACATGCAACAATGGATGCAATGAAGGCGGCTAGATACATTGACGATGCTACTGTAAAAGTGTGTTTGTAAAACGCGTATTTACATTGACGCCTCTTAAAGTTAGCCAGCTTTGTTTTAGAGCACGTGGGGACCTTGAAAGTGGGGGCAGGCGGAGCTGGAACGACAACCCTACTGAACACCAACGGCCTGCCATGCAGAAGCGCGAATATCCAACGCAGCAGCAGAAGGCACATAAGCAAGTGCCGCCAGCGAGCCTAGAGGGGGAGGTCCCCCCGAAAGGTGTTCAAGAGGCGAGCCCGAGCCACCTTGGGCCCAAGTCCAGAGCGGTGCCTGACCTGGCCTCAGGCCTATCAGGGCCCGCGATAAAACTCGGAAACGCATCAGTCCCAACCCCATCAAATCGAGACTGGCATACATGCCTAAACACCAGCCTTCAGCAGATAAGGGAGGGAGGGAAGGGTTCTTATCTATGTTGTGCTCCAGCTCCCCTGTTTTATGTAAGACCCCCCGGTCCAAATCTTGCTCTATCTTCTGTTCAGGAATACAGGTGAGGACAGGGGGCGCTTCGACACGCCTCCAGGCACGCTCCAGCTATCTCAAACGATAATCATAATTATCACGAGCCGCGAGCAACTCTCGTCTTGCGGCTGCGACGGGCTCGGGGCGCTGTACTCGGGCGGCCCGTCGTCAGCACCCGCCCGCCATCAAAGCAGGGGATCTCAACATGCGCCCCCTGCACCCCCGCCAGCTCCTCCAGCAACTGCTTTGCCAGGGGAGTCTGAGCGGCGGGGGACTCTACGATGAAAGTCATCAGCGCCTCGGCCGGCCTCGCCCAAAAACTGGCGCCCGTCTTCACCTGCTCCTCTGACATCTTCGCGAGCTGGCTGACGAGCATATGCGTCTTCGTGTAGCGTGCCAAGGCCGACGTGGTCTGCCACCTGCCCTTGCGCCTCGCCGCCTCTAGGCAGCCACCGCCCGCCACGAACGCGGCCGCCCCCGAGTGCCGGATGGCGTGGGGGGGGCCCATGCCGGCGAGGCCCTCGTCCTTGAGCGCCTTGTGCCACTCGCGCCTGAACCTGTCCTGCGAGACGGGGAAGACGAGGTCCTTGCGGGCGCAGCTCCGCAGCAGGGCCCGCGCCACGGCCGCGGTCACCGGCCACGAGAGTACCACGCCCTGGTTGGCGCCCGTCTTGACCTTCTCGCCCCTCTCACGCCTGCCGAGGGTGAAGGCCAGCTGCCCCCCTGGCCCCTCGGAGACGTCCTCGGCCCTGAGCTGGCCCCAGTCTTGCTCCCTGAGCCAGCCGTCCAGTTGCGCGAGCACCGCTGCGCCCTCAATGGGCCTCCCCGTGCGGAACAACCTGCTGATGACCAGCCCGACCGCCTCCATGGGAACAGGAGCGCCTTCCCCCAGTTCGCCGAGCCGTGCCCACGCCTTCAAAGCTCTCGCCGCTGTGGGCAGACGGTCCCGGTGGTCCTGGAAGACGTGCATGAACCCGTTGAACAGACTATTGCCTCGCCCGAACCCGAGCCGGCGCACGTAGCACATGTCCGAAATGTAGTCTGCCAGCGCCTGGCCCCTGGCCTCGTAGGTGGTGAAGTCCAGCTGGTTCCTCTTGACGTCCACCAGGAGCTCGCGCACAGCCTTCTGGTAGACCAGGTTCGTCGCGTCATCCACGGCGTGGATGACCAGGCGGTTCGTGTAGCGCAGCTTGTCATGCTGCGCCTCCTCCCACGCCCGCGCCCCCTTCTTTGCCAGGGGCGGTTGCGCGCTCGCTCCTCGTGGTCCGGCAGCCCTTGGACTCGGACTGTCCTGGTAGCCCACGGCACCTCCTCGCGTCATCAGCGTAGCAAAGACTACAAGTGCACTGACCCAGCGGCTGGGCCTTGAGGGCCTCGATGCTGATGCAAAAGTCGCTGCAGCCTCTGAGGCACCCCCCGAGCAACGTGCAACTTGACCGTCTCCTCCGCCGCGCCGATGGGCAGCCCCCTCGAGGGCCCGTCCGCCAGGTTCAGCTCCGACGGCACCCAGCGGTAGTAGCCTCTGATCCTGCACACCATCTGGATGATCCCCGCGATGCGGCACAGGTGCAGGACGTCCTTCGCTGACGAGCGCCCCTTCTGCAGCGCCCCCAGCGACGCCAACGAGTCCGTAAAGATCAGGATCCTGTGCCCCCATGCCTGCGAGGTCCTGCTCAGATGCCTCAGCGTGGCCACCACCGTCCGCAGCTCCAGGATGTTGTTGTGCTCCTGGCGCCCCCACTTCCCGCAGAAGAGGACGTGCCAGTGGTGCTTCAGCCACACGGGCCTGAGAGGCATGGTCGTCCCCGTCGCCTTGGCGATCTGGGTCCTGCCTCCTCGCGGCCTCAGCCGGGCCCCCGCTGGTATCGTTCCCCACGCAGGCTCGAGCTCCTTCATGATCTCGGCGTAGCACCTGCAGAGCTCGAGTGGGTACGCGCATGCCAGCTGCGTCCACCTGAGCCCACATGGCGACTTCCCCCTCAGTTCCTGGTGAGGCCCCCGCGTGCGACTGCAGCAGCGGAAGGTACCTGTACACTTCCTCGCCAGCTTCGTCATCCCCCTCACGCTCGTGACAAACGCGGTGGGCTTCTTCCAGACCTCGCCAAACACGCAGTAGTCCAGCTCCACCCTCCAGACGTCTGCCTTCACAAGCACCTCCACCAGCGGTGGGAAAGCCCAAATGTAGCTCCCAGCAGGATTCTCCAAAGTGACGGGGATCGCCAGCGTCACGCAGACCTTCAACACTTCCACCGCCACCAGGCACAGCAGGTTGCCCTCCTCGAGCTTGGTCTGACTTGGTCCGTCCAAAGTGGGCAGCCCCCAGATGCACTCGGTTGACCTCAGAGGCGGCACCCGAGCTTTCGAGAAGGTGGCACAAGGCGGCGCTAGGTGAACCCACCAGTACCACCCCTGCCGCAGCCTCCTCAGCAGCAGCTCCAGGTTCTCGCACACCAGCACGTCGTACTCGGCCCCCTCCGAGATGTCCCACGCCTCCCCCCAGGAGTTCGTGAGGTCCTTGACGGCATCCAGCAACCTCGACGACCCCGAGAACAACTCCAGCACCCCCGGGCGGCCAGCCTGGGGTCGGGCCGGAAGATCCTCCTCGTCGCCCTCGGCCTCCACCGTCCTCTCCACCTCGGTGTACAAATCCTCCACCAGGGGGCCCCAGAGACCTTCCGTCCCCCGTGCCGCTTCCGCTCTCGCCTCCTCGGGATCGCCGTCGCAGGCCAGGGCTCCGCATCCGCTCTCCGAGGCGTCCGCCATGTACGCACGTGGCCACCGGGGGGCCTCCAGGTCCGCCTCCATGTAGACCGAGAGGCTGACCAGGGCCGCGAGCTCGCTCTTGACGATCTCGGGCAGCCTCCTGGGCACG